TTCCTCATTTCTCCTTTTCTCCCCCCTTTAATTAATTTCTATCTTTTTACAATGATGATCAGACCTCAAATTTGGAGATATTGGTAGTTGGGTTCAGGGGTTTAGGGATACGAATAGATTGAAAAGAAGTTTGAGAAAAGAATAGGATCCAAAAGGAGAGAGTGTGAGAATCAATAATTGATCAGGAGAGAGCTTTTGTACTTTGTAGAAGAGATAGAATACATGCATAAAGATAGAGTTTTTCCAATTTGAGTTGATTGATCTCTATTAGTGGTGGAGATGCCTTTGTCGCTTATCTTATTTTAGTATGCAAATGCTAGAAAGCTCATGTGACTTGGTAAATAGATAGGGATTGGATACATTAATTCTCCTTCTTGGGATGCACACATTCCTGCAATAATAGTGGGCACGATGTCATGAACATGAAACAATGTAAAAAATGTGACCTTATGCTCGCACGCGTGTTATTAGGACGGTGGGGGACAAGCAATGAACCGAGCTGATGAATGATCAAGAGTTGAAAAGGGTGGTGATAAGGATAATCCATATAGGATTCAAGCTACCATTGGTGATTCAGCTGCATGTACATTTATCTATTGTTATATGCTTTAGTTATATGCTTGCATACCCTTTGATGAGCCAGCTATAGCCCGGTTTTTCTACATGGGTAAAGTTTAGTTTCAACATTGTGAGGTTATCCTAGTACTCATGACACGATTGATGTGAAAACTCGCAAAGCAGAAAATCATTTAAAGCTGTGAAGCACTGAGCAACTTGGGTTAGTTGATGGTTTGACTTATGCAACTCCAATAATGATTTAACAGGTGAAATTCTGCGCCTGTCCTTGCTCTTATTAGCTCCCCATTATTCGATGCCCCAAGTCTATATCCTGCTTCGGTGGTATTGAGTTATATCAAAAGCAGGTACAAGATATTTTACTTGTTTTCTCTAATAATCTTATGCTCTTTCAGTGAATTAATATTTGTGACTTTTGGAATAATTGTTTCTTTGTCAACCATCAATCTAATGCTTTTGTAAATGACTTTATTACACCAGAAATAATTTTCTTTTTCTTTCTTTTTTGGGGGAAATCAAATCCGACATGAGCATACAATTATTCTTTTAATTGCAACTAATGGATTCCAATTTGAATCTTTAGTACCTACACCTTTCATTAAGTCAATTGCTGTACAAGTGCAAAAACTTGATAACTCCGGTACATATAATCTTTACTTCAAATATGGTTTTTCCGTTGGGGTTCCCAATGAACCTTATACGTTTCAGGTATTGATCGTTCTCAATGTTCTTCCTAATATTTTAGGCAAAATATTACTTGGTCTGGCAAAAGGTCCAGGTTGTAGAGAATTCATCAAGTTTATTAAGATGATGCGCAAAGATGGATATAGCTAATTATCATACTAAGTGGTAATTAGTATCATCTATGAAATTTGCAAGATAAAATTAATTTGTGATGAAGGTTGATTGTTGCTTTACACTACTTGTGAATTTAATTAGCACATGTCGTGACTCTTAGATAAGAGGATGGAGTCTACATGATTAGATGTCATCAGTTACAAGATCGAATTTCATCAGGTTACAAGGTAAGTGTGCAATGGATTTCAAAGTTATTGTGCTACAATGCTGATCAGTTCCAAGTCTTGTAGTCTTATAGCGTTGATCAGTTCTAGGTCTACTAATCCTATTAGCTCAAGCTATTTTTCTTCCAATGTTTATCTTCTACACCAATCCTGATAACATGTAATGGAATATGGACCTGGATAGTGATTTGGTTAGGGAATCTGCTAGTTGTTGAGTGGTGGAGACATGTTTTACTTGAAGTTGTCCTTCGTCGACATTTTCTTTGGCAAAAAAGTAAGCATGTGCTAGATGCTTCACTTTGGTATGAAGTACTAGATTGTCACAAGCATATGTTGCATTCGTATTTTCATAGATGATAATAGAAACTAATAGTAGCGTAGAGATTCGATTCAAGTTGTTTTGGAGATTGTTGCTACAATTGCTTGATATTCATCTTCTGCGGATGATTGAGTTATTGTTTTTTGGTTTCCTAGAACTCCATAAAATTGAGGTGCTTCTGCTCTTGAATTTATCATTTAAGTGTACATATCATTAACATGTAATATAATAGAAAATAAAGTTTGTTTCCACAGAGAATTGCCCAAATCTTTTTGCTAAGTACTAAATTAAAACAATTCAATCGTATCAAAACAGTTGAATTTTAGAACTATTGAAAATTAAAGAAACTAAAACTAAAATTAGAATTGAAAGCAAAAACATCAATTTAACTATAATGAATCAATCAAAAGTCTAGCACCACGATATCCCCTCAATGTTTCTTCGAATCTCTTCTATTTCCTCTTTACTTACTAGATAAGCCTGAGTTGTTAACTTAGAATTCTAATTTATTTATAAGTCTCTTTCGATGTTCTTATAAAAATATCTTCCTTAACCAACTTATTATATTCCTATGGAAATTGAAAAGAAAGAATCTTTAAGCTTATACTTTAATTTTGGCTACATATGACATATAAGTGTATTCCTACCCTACATATGAATCAAATCAATCATCTCATGCAATTGATATTGAGCATATGTTGTTTCATCCATGGCTTACACTAAACTCCATATTCTAGTTCCGTTTAGGTTTTCAAATCCATCTAATTAGTGGTCAGGCAATCAGACGTATTAAGAACATGATTGAAATGAACAACTTAAATGCTCTTAATCATAAGTAAGAAAGAATATTAAAAATTCAAACTATGTATTGTGTTAAAACATGATTATAGACTAAGAAATTTAGTCCAACATAATTCCCAAAAACATCATCCAAAAAAGAAATTTAACCATCAAAACTCAAAGAAAAGTAGAAAGATAATAAGAAAAGAAAGAACTCCAATATTTATCAAGTCTTTGATCTTCAATCTTCCTTACGTTCCTTGTTTTCTTGCTACCTCGAATCCCTCTTTTTCTTCAGAAATATATTACATAATTGTTGCTTAAATAGTACTATGAAAGGGTGGTTTAAATAGGCTTCAAAAGCGAATGAGAATAGAAGTAAAAAACAACTCAAATTCTGGCCTCTACATTAGGGGCCGCGACCACGAAGTTGGACTTTTATTTTGTTTTTAAATTTCCTTGTTGATGGTTGTGGCCATGGGTAGGTGGGGGCCATGGCTATGAGCCTCCTGAAGATAAAAATGTGATGGGGTAGTTGAGGGGCTACATCCACTTCGTGGTGAACACCACAGTAACCAAATGTGCACTTTGAATTTTCAGGCTCTACTACACTACTTTGACTTCCAACGCAATTTTATCCTATTTCAATGCTGCACTGGAAAAAGTAGTTAACATAAAAGTTATAGCTCTGCCCCTAAACTTTTCAATGGTTAAAGAATCAAGTCCGTTAAACTTTTGTAACGGGAGATATGCTTGAAATA